AGTCGGATCCTTCTCCCATCCAATATTAAGTAATAACTTAAATTCTTTTAACAAGTACTGTGAAGAACTGTGTTTTCCTTTTTTATATTTCATTATTGTCTTTATTTTAATAAAGTTAAGTAATTTACTTGGAAATATCACGAGGGTTTCCATTTCTCCAGAATTTCTGTCTGGCGAACCTGCCTTGACCCTCGAATCTGGAACGGGGCAGGTGACTAATTGATATTGATCACTTGTTACGTCACAGTGGTGAGGCTGGTCGGACAAATCAATCGTTTAATTGTGGCACTGGCAGATGGACTTAAGCCGGGATTGCTTCTGGGACATTAAGTACTACCTCAACGTATTTACATTGACTGCTATAGCACCTTACGGTAGAAACTCTCTGGATAGGGTTTGCGAGCCAGGCTTGTGGCCTCAACCCCCGGACGACGTAGGCTGCCTGACAAATTCCTAGGATAGGATCCTTCATTAATATTTTTTCTGATTTCGGTACACGAAAAGGGTCAATTACTTCCAGCATAACGAGCGCTTCACAAGCTACAGGAAGCTATTCTACACGGAACTGGGAACGAAACCCATAGAAGTGAAGAAGATTCCTGGCAAGGCGGAAGTTGAAGAATTCTGGTGAAACATCATGGAGTGCCCAGTGACCCATAATGTCGATGCCATATGGCTCCGACGTCAGAGGGAGTTAAAAGACATTCCCGAAATGAGTGATCCCCAGATTACGACATCTGATCTGAAGAATGCGCTTAAACGGCGAACTGGAAGAGTCCCGGACACGACCGTCTTCCGATCTTCTGGCTGAAGCAATTGACATCAATACACGAACAACTCACCAGAGAAATGCAGAAAATAGTAACGAACACCTCAGAGATGCCGAATTGGCTCACCACAGGAGTCACCTACCTACTGCCGAAAAAGGCCGAAACTGAGCTACCTCGGAATTACAGACCCATTACCTGCCTGCCAACCGTCTACAAAGTGATGTATTCCATCCTGGCAGCACGAATCGAACGACATATCTCTGACAACATCATGTCGGAGGAGCAAAAGGGTTGTCGGGAAGGATCGTACGGCTGCAAGGAACAACTACTACTCAATCGTATGGTCATGGATGATGCCAGAAGCAGGAAGAAAAACCTCTCGATTGCATGGATCGACTACCAGAAGGCATACGACTCGGTGCCCCATTCGTGAATCATAGAATGCCTCAGGATGTGCATGTGGTGGTCAAATTCCTATAACAGACCCCGCTGGAAGATGGTCATATCCCTCAATGGACAAGACTCCACCTTGACAACCTGCGAGATTTCCATCAGACGCGGGATCTTCCAGGGAGACACGCTGTTTCCTATCCTCTTCTGCCTCTTCTATCCTTCTTCCTCTTCTCTCAGCATCGAATTGTCTCGGACTGAAGGTCACGTTCAGTCCTATTACGTAGGAAAGGGGAAGAATGCAGACCATTGCATGAACCACCTCCCAGGTAGCACACTTATGGACTCTTTCATGTTAATACTACGTCAATATGATGCGAATTTCATGCAAATTGAAATGTTTGACATGACTATTGATGTTGCTATTTTCGTAAAAAACATGACATGTATGTAAGTCACATCAACTTGATCTTACATTTAATGTATATATTGACGCTCATGAGGACATACACTTTTGACAAGTTATTGATACGAGGACCTTGTAATTATCACCATAAAATTTACATCACATCCACAGGTCCATCGTGAGATTTTGTGAGACAAATTATGAGGTCACTGTGAATGAAGAATTCCATGACAAACTCCTATTCGTGTAATTTTCATCAGCTGAAGCTGAAATGGTAAAATGCTCACTAAAAAAATGACGCATTATGAACTGCGGATAACAGTTGAACATAGTTACAGGCAGCCATGGTACTATGAACTCGAAAATGCTCTTCTTGCAAGGCGGCATATCCGGTTTGGAAGCCTTGCTTTCAAACGGATGCAGGACTCACTCAGTGGTAAGATACTTGTGAGCTACTCTAAAATATGAAAGTAGCTTAATAAGAAGTTTCCATTCGCAATTCCATTTAATAATATTGGCCTTTGGTCTCCATTTGTAGGCCTAGTTCTCGGTCTGGCACTGTTTCTCGCACCAACCTTGGCCTAATAGCTCATGTTTCGGATATGTTACTTTAGGACGTAGCTCAAGCTACAGTTCCTTTCCGTTGGAATAATTTAGCGTCAGCACAAAGGTAACCAAGGATCCTTCGGATTATAATAAATGCCAGGCAAGGCATTGATCCGATTTCAACACGTCTGACCGTTTCGGATATCAGTCAGTAAGATATTGAGGGGTGAATGAACAATTCTAGAACCGCAGAGTCAAATAAGGCTTTTTATACTAAGAAGTGAAATTTGAAATAAACTAAATCTAAAGTGTGAAATACTTGTTAGTGTTAGACCTAAATTCCGATGAATATTCTTAAGTTTCACCTTCTTCACCTGTCATAACTTAGCAACATCTAGAATGACCTAAGTGGGTTCATTGTTGAGTCCCACCAAACTGGCAAAGTATGTTAGTCACAGTTATTCTGGTCCCCCTCATGTTGAAATGTTGCCTAATTACATACACACTTATGAGGATTCATTCAATTCTTTTAACCTTTCTAATCCAGCACTAAATATGATTTTCCCTATAGTTCTACAAAGAAAATGCCAAGGAAATGTAGCATAAAAAAACAGGTTACTGGCTGCCACTGCTACTACTATTTTCAAATACCTCTAAATTAGAATAAAATTGTATATCAGCTGCAACAGGGGAGTGGAAGTGTTAATGTGTAATGTCACACCAGGCTTATGACTTTGGGGCACAAAGGGTTAATTAGTATATTACATTCCCAGTTCATTGCATTAGGTTAGTCTTTTCTTCCTGAGTTGCTGTGATATGTTTCCTGTGTTACCAGATGTTTTCAGCTCTGAAGAAGAAAGCAATTTATGGAATTTTACTGTATTGCATATTATATTGCAGCAAACAAGGACCAGGTTTCTGCAAAGGTTAAGAAGCTCGAGAAGAGTAGTGATGTGGCCACTACTTATTATGAAAAAAGAAAAAGACCTCATTATCTGGAGAGAGGAAGCTAAAAAAAGCATCTTCCTAAGCGATCACACAAGTCACCTTCTATCCCATATCCACCTTCATCTGAAGCTGAGGATGAAGATGATGGTGATTCACTGAGCAGCTCATTTGTATTTGAGCCATCTGATGATGAGGAAGAAGTCACTAAACTCAAAGCTGGAACTTCAACATTCCAATCCCTCCTGTGCAAGTTTCTGGAGCACTCCTGGTCTGACAAAAGTCCATGCTTCAAAGCGTATTCTTGAGCCAGTTCTCAATCCTCCTCATCCATCCCAGCAACCAAGTCTCGCAAAACCAGCTTGTGAGTTACTGTTCCGTAATTTTGAAGCACCTGAGAGATATTCAACATTCCTAAGGAGCCTTCACTATCTAATGTGGAACTTGAATTTTTACATGTGGTGTGTGAATTCATCAATTTCTCATCCTGTGTTATTTGCTTTTAAAGTACTTGTGAGTCCACCTGTCACAGCATTTTGTTGGCCATGATGAAGGATGTCAAGCATGAACAAGGACAGAGGCTAACTGTGATGGAGCTACAAGTCCAGTCACTAATTAACCACTTTCGCCTCGGGAGTGAAACCTCTTCCTTTGTGGGTCGTGAATCTCAGATTTAAAACACCAGAAGTGTCACTGTTCTCCGATTGCATCAAATCAGATGAGGAGTATCGAGAAGAATCAGTGAGTAATTTCTTGAATTTCCTTTTGTGCTAGCTGCTACTTCATCTCAAAACTCTGCTGAACAAGACTTAGTTGTAGTGTGCAGCCCATAACGGGCTGAAATTCCTGTTTTATTCTTTTTCAGGTATGCTTTTTGAACTACAATTGCTTCTGCAATTGGAAACTAGATTCCCTCCATTCTCAACATAGTACAATCCATTCTGAACAAATAGGGTGATCCATTTTTGGATACCACCCCAAAATAATAGGGGAAAATTACAGAGAAACAACAGCACATTAGTTGAAAGCCCCAACCATCACTCTCAATACAATGATTAAATCTTTTAACACCCACCTGTTGCACTTAGTCCAACATGGGCAGTGTGATTTCCCTACAACATCCAATTGTGCGTAACCTCAATTGTTGATATCTCGTGGTCTTTATTAGTTTCACACTTGCTTGACATAGATTTTTGAGGGCTGTTAAGCATGGTATCCTTTGCATGCTGCACATTCTTCTCAGTTCTTATAGTTTTTACTGTTTTTCTCTGAATTGCCAATCGAACAATGTCACTGAATTAGTGATTCAATTTGTGAATAGATTTCCATTGGAGTGGTGCACACCAAAATTTCTCCTGGAATAGGCATTGTGTGTATGCCATAGATCTGTAAATCTCCATGTTACCACTTCTCTATTCTTCAGTAAGATATTTATTATATTTCTTTTGGTGCAGATTCCTATTTTGGCATCTACTCTCCGAAATATGGAAGGGAAGAAAGCAATCTCAACTCTCATGCGTCGACTCATGGATGAGGGAGCTGTCCTTCACTTTGTTTGCAAGTCCACAAGACACAAGGAGAAGCAGGTCCTTACAGAACTGGGCATCTTTGACCTCATATCAAGTATGTTTATTGAAAATTCATATGATCAGTGCAATTGGATTTCTCATTCCTTAAATGTCAGTTCTACATTAACCATTCAGCATATAAAAGATTATCTTATTGTGGGAAACTCAAATGATCATCATTGAATTATTGTTTTTATATGGCAGAAGCCATTGCAGTGGGAAAGCTGCTTCCATGTCTCAACATGAGAGAACCATCTTTGTTGGTGACTGGCTTCGGCAGGCTAAGCAGCGCCTTCGTCAGAAGGAACACAGTGCAGTTGGATTTCTCAGACCTTAGATGTCAGTTCTACATTAACCATTCAGCATATAAAAGATTATCTTATTGTGGAAAACTCAAGTGATCATCATTGAATTAATGTTTTTATATTGCAGAAGCCATTGATTGCAGTGGGAAAGCTGCTTCCATGTCTCAACAGGAGAGAACCATCTTTGTTGGTGACTGGCTTCGGCAGGCTAAGCAGCGCCTTCGTCAGAAGGAACGTGCACAAATGTGATTCTTTGTGATTCACTTGTTCAAAACTGATTTTCAAGTGAAGAAATAAAAAATTATGAATCCTTGGTCATATGTATCTATCACATCTATGTGAAATATATAGATTTTCATTAATTTGCTGGCATTAGACCAGGCAATCTATAATGAATGCAACTTCTCTTATGAAGCATACCACCTTGAGAAAAAGAGGATAATGGGAGCCAATCAAATCATTCAACACAAGCCTTCTCAGATACTGTATTGAGGCCCATTCATGCTGATTTTAATTTTATTTAGGAAATGTCACTTTGCATGTCACTGCGTGTTCACCGATGTGTGGGCATGAAAATCAGCTTTGATCCTCCTGGTCAAGGTTTACGGTGAAGAGATATACATCTGACAAGTTATTGACAAGGGCCTTGCAAGTGTTAACGTGAAATTGACGTAACATCCACGTCAATATTAATGTTGGAGAAGAGGTACAAATTTGACAGGTTATTGATACAATGACCTTGTAAATATCAGCATGAATTTCTTGTAAAATTCACGTTAATATTGATGTTCATGGAGAGGTACACAATTGATAAGTTATTGATGCAATGGTCTTGTAAATATCAACGTCGATTTATTGTTAAATTCACATATCAATATTGATGCTGATGGAGTGTTACACAATTGACAAGTTATTGATACAAGAACTTGTCAATATGAACGTGGGTTTTACGTCACATCCACTTGCTGTTGTAGATTTGTCCACATCAAGTTGATATGAATTAAACATACTCGCGCTGCCTGGGATCCTTGTTGCTTACTGCCTAGTCCCTTAAGTCAGCATTTGTCCCACATTTTTTTTTTATCCATAAAAGCATCTAGTTTATACTTGTCACAGAAATTGTCACGAAAGAGGCAGTCACTAAGTCGCCATGTAACGTATTTCACGCGTTCACCACTCTACAAGTAAAAAAGTCCTGTCTCAACCTGAGCTTGTTCAAGTTGTGTCAAGTTGTCAATCGACTCAAGTTGTGCAAACCTGCGGTTTGCACAACTTGAAATCGATTACCTCTCCATTTCTCTTGCTGCCATCAAACTGGAAGAACCTACCACGCTCGAAATGATCTATTCCTTTAATTATCTTGAAAGCCTGGAGGAAATCGCCCCTCCTTAACTTCTCTTGAGTGAGTACAGATGTTAAAGAAAATGTAATATACACCCGAACATAGAAAACCTTCCATCCCCCCAGCAGCATATGAACATCATGCATATTGACAAAATTGATGTTTTTGCTTAAACTAAAGTCACTAGAATGAAAATCACCATTTTTTACGTTTAGGTAATATAACATGAATATGGCGTATTGAATATAGGGACGTTTACATGAGTGATATTGTTTTCACATAATCTGGATGTCAATGCTGAGACCTTAATCTATCTTGCGTGAGAATGATGTGCAATGCCTATCCCCATTTGACTGAGTCATTTACATTGCATTGCAAATGAACTCCATTCTATTATGTACTTGCAGAGAGGAATATAGCTTATCATTCTCCTGACACTTTCAAATTTCAGGCTTCATATTCAATAGATGAAAATTAATGGGAAATTAGCTCTGCTCGCGTCTCTACGCGACTCTTTTGTTCCGTGAGGCGATTTAATCCCAAAGATCATGTGATAGAGACTAAGCGGTACAATAATAACTTCATTCACAAAAACTCAAAAACTAACACGATCCTCAGGTGATTGATCGAATACTTCAGGATAGACAATGTTCTTAGTTCGACTCTGGCCGCTCAGTAATTTGATACGGAGAGAGTCGAAGGAGCAAACTCTGGAGGACGCCTCATACAACTGTCCGTGACTGAAAACAGGCTGCTCCAGCGTAACACCGACCTTGTGGAAAGTCTGCCCTTGGGACTTGTTGATGATCATTGCAAAAGCGGGGCGAACTGGGAACAGGAGGCGAGTAAACCTGAAAGGAAGTATAGCTCCAGTAGGCTCAAACTTAATACGAGGAATCAGCACACATTTTCCTTGAACAGCGCCTGTCATGAGCTGGTAGTCCAAGACACGTGCATACGCATCACGACCATTTTTGCGCCATTACAGAGCCCCTGATTAACATCCAGACTACGAAGCAGCATGACCACAGCTTCAAATTTCAGAGTAAGCTCATGTGGAGGAAGGTCATTGGGAGTCTGGGAATACAGAAACTCTTCAGGATACAGAGTCGGATCTCCACCTTGCTCCACGATGGCCTTGTCAATGCTGAGATAGTTTCGCGCCGGACCTTCGATACGCCCAATGATGTCGTTGTTCAAGGTCAGGTTTGTGCTGTTATACAGCACCAGTAGTTACTTGAGGTCGAACTCTTTCTCGATAGGTTCTTCTGGTCGACGCTTCGGTAGCTCGGTGCACAGAGGCTTCCTCCCCATTTCTGGGACGACGTCGACCTTGTTGCCAGGCAGCATCTGCCTCACGTCTGACTTCTTTTTCGTCAGCGGAACCTTCGAGACCGGCACGGCGATAATTTTCGGCATGTTACTCTTTGCTGCTGCAGTTGCTCTTGACTCATCCTCGAACGAAAACGGTGTAGACGCTCAAGATTAAGAGATCTTCTCGTAGCTGGATCCATCGGTTGCAACACAGCATTTTCAGCATGGTCAGTAATTTCATGCAGACCTTTGCGCTCACTCCGCCATGAATATGATTGTTCGTTCCCGAATTCGAGTCCCCGTTAACGCCAAAATTATATTAGACTTCGATAGGAGAAGCCGCCATTAATCCATCACCAACAAAATATTGTGGAGCGTCGGAAAAATCCAGCAGGGGAGGCCTAACGGAAAAATCTGCGGCGTTTCCCGGCAAAATGGGGCTGCGCGCCAGGTCAGATCCATGAGCATCAGAAAAATCAGAATTCGTTTCTAGCCCGTGGCTTACTACGGCATGATTGGCAGGATAATATATGTTATCAGGTATGGATGGATGCATAGGTACGGCTTCACTCCTGGAATGATGCATCAGGAGGATATTCAGAGATGAGAGCGAAGGAGGCGGTGCTCTTCTCAATTTATCCTTGCAACCGTCGTACGTCGAGTTATGGGATGCGAAAATGATGGAATTTCGGTAAGGTTCGAGGCGGGAAAATGAGCGAGAGTTTTTGAAAGAAATTCAAAAATCCTGGGTGGGAGCCCTTGCCCTACGCAGAGCGTTTCAGACGAACGGACACTTGCCGATTAATATATATGAAGATAAAACGATAGCGGCCTTCTACCCGTACATATACTTTTTTGTCAGTGCTCATCAAGCGTGGAAGTCATCCTTCCTCTAGGGATGAAAGGCAACTCCAAGCGGGGACTTTTACACGTCCTTGCGAAAAGTCGTATCGAAGTGTGAACACCCCTAAGTGGAGGCGAGGGGAAGGGGCGGCGGGGGTTTGTGTGGAATGCCTCTCTCTCCAGTTGTAGTGTTAGGGATGGCACGGAGAGATAATATTGTAGGGCTTGAGTTCAGTAGAGTTGTGGTAGCACACTTGACTGGCTATTAGGGCGACCCGAGTTCGATTTTCCGCCAGTTCAAATGCTTTCTTCGTCTTCTTATGCCATCCTAAGTCTCCCCCCCCCCCCATTAACCTCTCGAGGATGAATCGGGCAGTCGCAACGACCGGAAAAAAAGTGCTCGCAAGAGAAAGAGGGAGACTACACCGGAGGCAGGCAGAAGGCGCCGCCGCGCATGCGGACATGGACTATGCGGACGGGTGGGAGACCTCGCTCTACATAGAGCGTTTCAGACGGACGGACACTTGTCGATTAATATATAAGATACTATTTGAAGTACCCGGTGTTGCCCGGGGAAATTCAATATTCCGATATTTCATGGATGACTAATTGGGGAACGTCAGCCTTATGGTTTAATAAGTTATCGATCTTGGGTGCTGCAAAATTTGCTCGGACCCTTCACCTTTTAAACTTTTTTTTAACCCTTCGAATGATTTAGAAATTATTTTGGAATAAAAAAAACTTCTTGGTAAAATATAGTTTTTTTTTATCGCTTTGAAACATACTCTCGATGAAAACTTGATCAAAAGAGTATATTTTACTACCTGCTGTAGTGAACGGGCAATGGGATTTCCCCGGGTACTGTAAAACAGGTGGCCAGGAGGGGAGAGTTGGATGGCATGAGAGGACGAAAAGGAGACAGGAGACAGCCGGGAATCGAACCCAGGCCTCCTGTCAGGTCAGGTGTGTTACTACTGCACCACCGAATCCAAGAGTTGGTCATTCCTCTCCATGCCATCCCAGACACCTCAGTACCCCGGAAAAATACTCCGGGATTGAACATTTTGGATCGAAACATAGCCCTAGCCCTGGATGAAAGAGGACATGCAAAGCTTGGTTGCACTGGCTCCTGCAGGGTCCGAATGCATAAAGTAACAGACAGACAGACAGACAAACATTCTTTTTTATATATAGAGAGATAGAGACTAGCATAAGGAAGGGGTTGACGGCTCGGAATAATATGCCTTTCAAATGAGAAAGGAAATCTGCTCGACAATAAGAAGTAAAATTATGCCGTAATGGAAAATCAAGATGGCAATATCGATGCTGTTATTAGCAGGAAATAAAGAGCTGAAAACTCCGACTGCTAAATAGGCTGAGTTCAACTTTTGGTATGTACGATAGTTTTTATGGTGGCTGGACGCATACCATGATACCATGACGTTTGAATGCGAGTGCGGTTCGTAGAATGCCTCTCTCCCGTTGTAATGTTAGGGATGACATGGAAAGGAATAATGACAGACTGGTGTTTCGTGGCGTAATGGTAACACGTTAGCTTCGCAATCAGGAAGTCTAGGGTTCGGACCTGGTCATTTTGGTTTTAGTCTTCTTATGCTACCTGAACTCTTCCCCCAACTCCCTCAGGCTATTACGTTCTCGAGAATAGATCCGACAGTCTCAAGGGCCGGAAAAAAAAGTGCACCTCCGCGAGAGGGAGACGTACTCCCTTTGACAGACAGAAGGAGCCGCACATGTGCACATGGATTTGCGGACAAGCACTCAGACCC